ATTAATTTGGAAGATAGTTAGAAACTAGGCATTTATTAGAAAGAACTGCGTTTCTCTTTTGTTAAATGAGGAGAAAATAACTATTATAATTTTTCATTTAATATTATATACAAGACATCAACTGCGCAAATACTTTTAATTGCTTCTAATGTGAATGGGCTAGAGAAGCCGATTAAAGCTTTACTGTTGTTTCTAATGCGACTTACCAACCAGCAAGCCTGCTTGGTGAAACCAATGGAATTTAAGCCCGAGGGTGTGTTTTTTGATTTTCGGTGGCGCCATCTAGTACCAAAAATGCTACATCAGCCAATAACGTCACAACTCGTTTATAGGGTGGACCCATTCATATATTCATAAATTCATCCACAAATCGTACTTCTAATCGAAACCAGAGAACGACAAATCTCCAATTCAGTACCCCCAGAGGTTTGATTTGTTGTGGGAACATGGAGGACTTTATGACCTGACAGATTTAACGTGCACCAGTCACCATTTACGACACAGGGAGCTTTAGGCCCGTGGGGATCGAACTCATGACCTCTTGGACATGTGTTTTAATAATACTCTAGTTGAATATTATGTTAAAGTTTTTTCTTGCATTCTTAAGAAAAATATTTATATTGAGTCTGTAAACAATATATATAATCTTAAGTGCCATCTCCGATTTTTTAGCCGCTAAAGTTATCAGGATTTTTGAATTCTAGTCGAGATGTTTAGTTTGAGTGTTACTGAAGCAATTGAAAAATAAAGTATTTATTTTATTGATTCCATGATTTCTCATTATAAGTAATAAGATGCATTTCCCCTCAGAAACAAAAACTTGGATGGTGTATAAAACGGCACAATCGCAGCCCATTTAGCAATTACGTTGTTAGGGAGTCATTGGTGCAATGAAACATCAAAGAATGCCTATTAAGTAAAAATTTAACTGGAAACACCTGGCTTTCAGTACATTGCATCACTTATACTTAAAAACAATAATATAAAAAATATATATGTAACCCATTCATACAACTATAAAACCATGCATTGTGACCGGTTACTAAGAGAATATTCATTCATTCACACTGTTTTATTTATTCAAAAAAAGTGAAAAATAATATTAATTTGATAAAAATATAAAAACTCATTTATTTTATCTGAGTGATTTTCAACGATTTCAATAGCGCTCATATTCTACCCGCGATGTGATTTCTGTGTCACATTATTCCTGTTTGTTTTTCTAAAAAGAGGTGTATGACTTTCTCACGTTTCGATTCCGGCACAAAATTTCCCCCTATCCTAATATAAAATATAAAAATGATCTCGATTAGGTAGAAAAACTATGAAGGTCATAGAGTAAGAAACTAGTTTCTCATTCCTCTTCACCCACAACGCATCACAACTCACTATTCAAGTAAGTCTCTGCTTTCAATCATTCTTTTCGTTTCATTTACGAACATAAAAATAATTACAAATGTTGTTCGCATTCATTTAAAATAATTATACATACCTATAAATAATAATATTCAAAACTTTCTTTTTCGATTTAAAAATTTTATTTTAACTAAAAGTAATTTTTAAAAAAATTAGTAATCAATCATCTTTTGTGTTTCATTAATAAATTTCTTAAAAGCATAAAAATAATTACAAATGTTGTTCGCATTCATTTAAAATAATTGTACATATCTATAAATAATATTCTAAACTTTTCTTTTTCAGTTTAAAAATTCTATTTTTCCTAAAAGTAATTTTTAAAAAAATTAGTAATCAATAATCTTTTTTGTTTTATTAATAAATTTCTTAAAAACATAACAATAATTACAAATGTTGTTCGTATTCATTTAAAATAATTATACATATCTATAAATAATAATATTTAAAACTTTTCTTTTTCAGTTGAAAAATTCTCTTTTAACTAAAAGTAATTTTTTTAAAAATTAGTAATCAATGATCTTTTTTGTTTTATTAATAAATTTCTTAAAAACATAAAAATAATTACAAATGCTGTTCGCATTCATTTAAAATAATTATACATATCTGTAAATAATATTCAAATCTTTCTTTTTCGATTTAAAAATTCTATTTTAACTAAAAGTAATTTTTTAAAAAATTAGTAATCAATGATCTTTTTTGTTTTATTAATAATTTTCTTAAAAACATAAAAATAATTGCAAATGTTGTTCGCATTCATTTAAAATAATTATGTATATACATATCTATAAATACTAATATTCAAAACTTTTCTTTTTCAGTTTAAAAATTCTATTTTAACTGAATATATTTTTTAAAAAATTAGTAATCAATGATCTTTTTTGTTCCATTAATAAATTTCTTAAGAACATTTAATGATTGAAAACGTTGCTCGCATTCATTTAGAATAAATGTATTATAAATGTAAATGCTTAAATTCAAAAATTTTCCTTTTCAATTTAAAAATTCTATTTTGACTAAAAATAATTTGTAAGATAATTTATGATCTTTTTCGTTTCAATTATAAATTGCTTAAGAATATAAAAATAAAAAAATTTGCGCACATTCCTTTAGTTTTAAATATTATAAATACACTGTGAAAAAAATCATGGTCAAAACTACTAGAATATGGTAAGTGGTAACATTTGGTAATTTCATCATAAAACTTTGAGCATGGCATAAAAACTATTTCTTCGTTTAAGTTTACTTTTCAGTTTTGTATCTTTTACTATATATAGGGTAATAATAATAAAATTAGCAAATGAATGACTTAAATACCGTATATTTTGGTTTTATTAACTAGAACTGTGTCTTAATTTTACCAGTTATGTCATTACCATGCACTACTGTAATTTTACCAGAATTTGTATAAATGCATAAATTCAAAACATTTCTTTTTCAATATGAAAATTCGATTTTGACTAAAAGCAATATTTAAGAGTGTTATTAAATGTCTATTTACTTATTATTAATATTTTAATAAGTAAATAAACCTACAGAACATTATTAGGATAAACAGTATTACCCAAACAAGTCATTTTTCCCCCACAGCATCTCATAACACGTAATTCAAGTAAGTCTCTTGTATTTGATTATTTTTTTGTAAAATAAATATCTTTTTCAAACATAAATTTATTTAAAGGACTTGTCTCACACAATTAAACATTTTGTGCGTATTCATTTGGCATAACTATGATTGCGTATATTTAAAAACTTTTTCTTATTACACCAGCAAATTTTTTATCTTTATTAATAATTATATTCCAATTTTGAAAGAAAATTCCTTAATGGAGGTGGCTTATAGAGAATAATATTCTATAATATATTTTTAACAATCTTTCGAAAAATTTTGAATTTATTAAGTATTTTTTTCACTATTGCTCATAAATATTTTCATAAGCAATTATGTGTCACATTATTATTAGTATTTTTTTGTTACTGCGTCGGCTTTCTTTTCATTTAACACCACAATATTTCAAAGAAGCATTCATTGATACGCATATATTAAAGGATACATCATAATACAAATTGCGCTGTACATTCGATATTCATTTTAAAATAAACATCATGATATTTTTATCAAAAGATATGCATTACTGAATTTTTCAGTTAAAAAAAAAAATTATCTCTTGATAAATAGATGAAACGATAAATTCAAAATATGCTCTTTTATGTTATAATATGCTCTGCAAAATATTTTGCATCTTATGTTATAACATGCAAAATATTATTTTTTATGTTTTATGCCTAAAAATAAACATCAGCTGTGAGATTAACTTTTCAATCGAAACAATCGGATATATATCCAAATGACTAATGTATATCAAAATATCCGATTATTTGACATTTTCGGAAGTATCATGATATTATCATGGTTATGGTCCCTTCAAGGTAATACGTGTCTGCATTTTGATTTTAAATAGCATCTATATTTTAAAAAAAAAATTTTTGAAACACTTTATATTGACAGTAAAAAAAATTACGAACTAAGTACATAAAAATCTTAAAGCTTTTTATTTTGATTTAAGAAAATATTTTATTCCAAATATTTAAATCAACAAATGAAGTATAAAAATAGCAATAGAATTTAGGTTTGAATAATTTAAATAATGATAGAGAATGCATTTCTACAGGGAGTTCTTCTTGAGAGACTTCAAGCACCTGTCGCTTTCATGGCTATACTAAGAATAATACGCAATTTTAACCCAAGAGCTTTCTCCAAACTCTTCAATCAAAGAAAAGATTTTCAGTAACGATCATGAGGACCATTGTTGCGCATACTCCCTGGTTGTTTAGTCAGCCCCAACTTTCCATGAGCGACGCTTTAGACTCCTGAATGATTCGATCGCCTATCGTGTTAGCTCTAAGATTCACAAACGTTTCGTAATTACCTCGATTAATAATTATATATTTTAGAATCTTTGCCCAAAATGAAGTAAAAATATAGAATTGCTAAAATACAAGTAATTAGAATAATTATATAGAAATATTATCGAATCGGGAAGTAGAATTATCCAAAAGTAGAATTTCAGGGGTATAGAATTATATGGTATAAACAGGATATAATTAGGATCGAAAATTAACGTATTAAGGAGAAAAGAAAATATTATCGCAATTTGTCACTATTAAATCACTACTGAGAAAGACGATGTGAAAAACATGAAAACTAATTTGATTGCCTGATGAAACGTACAGGTATTTTTAATAATGTTCTTTTGACTTCCTTCTGTTTTCTGCTGCAATCAAACTGGTTTTTAAAATTTTCACTAGTGATTTCTTAGATTTAGATAGCATTTTTGTTAAATGCCAGTTGGTGACCTCTAATGTGCGTGCTTTTTTGCCTAATTTATGCAAGAATTCTAAAAAAATATTTATATTAGATGATCTATACGAAACAACCTGTATGTTGGGGTACATAGTGTTTTTCTATCAACAGCATCAATTTTTTTAAGTCCTATTTAGAAACAATTAATGTAAGTAATTATCTCCTAAAACTAAATTTCACGAGTGTTGAAATTATATGAATTTATATAACTTATTTTTTACAGATGACTTCCTTCATTTGTTACTTTTTATTTCTGGTGGCATCAGGCCAAGCTTTTACCCATAGACTGCGACGACAATTGGATGTTCCTCATTTTTCAACACCCAATGAAAGTCCCTTTTTTCTCATTCAACCCATGAGTATGGGAAGAAGACGACTTATTTTGACTTTACCCAACGACAATATCGAGATATTAAATGCTGAAGCTACGCCTGAAAGAGGACAAGCATTCTTACCAACTACTCTTTCTCTTCGAGAATCTGACTCAAATAATCGACAAAGTTATCCAAGAGGGAGCGCTTCTCGTTCCAGGTACTACACTCTTATGTAAAAATCACAAAAAACCATCAATAACTTCAGATCTAATGATCGTGCTAATGGTTTGAGAGCCTAACCTTAATTAGGCTGACTAATTTGTACAGACGATATTTTAAGACATAAAAATGTCTCTGAATAAGCATACATTATCTTAAGAGAATTCTTGACGATTTGGGATCTAAGAGTTCCTAAGGCATAGATTTAAATTCATCGAGAAATGTATTCGGTGAACAATATTGTCTGTTTTCTGTTAATGCACATTCCCACCATTGGAGTAGGAGTCGAACTTTGCAGGAATCAAAGCTGGATTCGGAAAAATTTGTTCGACTCCAACTTCAGTTATTTGAAAGTTTTAGGTTAAAAGAAAAAAAACGCTCGATTTCATAATGTTTCAACTTAATTTTATGAAATTTATTTTGACAAATATCTATAATTATATAAGCAAAATTTATACTCGAATGAATTTTTTGAGCATCATTTAAATTATTAATTATCGCAAACTTAATTAATTACATTTAAATGTGATTTTGAACTTATGCTTAACAGAACATTTAAGAACACAGAAAAATCATTGAAAATAATGAAAAATTGAGATTAATAAAAGAATTAATGATTAGTTATGTTTCAATTTATAAATTCCTAAACCACACTTTTTTAGTTAAGGTATTGAGTTAATTAAAAAAGAAACATGTGAAAGAATTTAACGCTTCAATTGTAACAGTTTTCTGGTTTAAGATTAATTTTTTTTGTAAGATATTTACGTATGTGTGAGCGTGTGTTTGAGATATTGTTATGTAGTTCTTTTCTGACAAAGGTTGCGCACAATTTCATTAATTTGAACAAATATATTTCTTGAAATTGATTTCTTCAACTGTTATGTTATAATGCAAAATGCAATTTTAAATAAAGTGCCTTTTACTTACAAAATAGAATTAAATAATTTAAAATTAGCACTGATTTCATGATTGTAATTACATAATAATCAAGAAAGCACGAACATTTCAACTACTGACTCCTCACTGCTAGATTTTGTTCTAAATATCTGGTGCTAGATTGAAAACACCTCTTTGACTTACTTATATAAATTCATCGCATATAAATTTTGAGAGTAATTTTCTGGGAAAGTGTGAAACCATAGTATATCATTCAAATTTACTCCAACCCTAACATGTTGCTAATTTAAAACCATATTTTCTTGCTTTCTGAACTTGATGAAACGATACTACGCTTCATATAGAAAAGTTTCCCTTCTCAACTTTATAATATTTCGATTTCATAATGTTTCAACTTATATTATTGTTTCAAATATATTACTGTTCAATACAAAATTATTATGGTTCAGGGTTGAACTGAATTTTCTGAGAATATACAAAGAAGCTTTAAAAAGAGTTTATTAAATTTGAAGCCACTCAACCGGATTTTTTCTCTTCAGATTTCATTACAGTGAAGAGCATCATCCCATGGAGACCAGACATCACAAAGGAGCTCAGGTAACTTTCATCAAGGCTAAAGGAGGAAATAAGCCAAAATATGTTCACGCCAGAAAAGTTATGACTATGTCCTACAATCCAATGAAAGCAACGATTATTAAACCACAAGAAGCCAAAAGGTATTTTAAGAGCATCTTAGATTTCCTTTAGTGGTAGAATATATTGTTAGTTTATTTGCGAAATGTTATGAATAAAAGCCTATTTAACATTGCCCATTTCCAACTACACCCTTTTAATGGTTGAATTCTGTCTCGATAGAGAAAAATAAATCCCTTAGAGCCACAGTTCACTAATCAACAAGGTGGTTTGGTTACGATGGGAACTAGAGAATGTGATTTTCAATTGATGAGTAAGCTAGATACCAATTAACCACTACAGCGTTACGAATGAAGTATGTCCGGTTCTTGGCTATCAACGATGCCAAAGTCCGGTTACATTACCTAGAGCAATGTTGCAACTGTAGTTAATCCCACAAACACAGAAGATTATACGTCGTTCATTTTTTTAAAAGATGAAGCATTCCCCTATTATTTGACAGACTTTCGTGATTTCCTAAATAACGCGGTTCCTCGTCTTGAAATTGAACGCGGGTCAGATGACGACTTCTTCTTTAGTTACCAAGCTTTCCAAACTTAACTCCTTGCGATTTCGTATGGAATTGCATAAAAAATTAAGCGTTCGGGCCCTGTTATGCCATTTTATTTAACAGAATTCACAACCGCATTCGTGAAATGTTCCAGTGGTGAGTGTGGCAAAATTTTGACTTCAGTCCTGAAGTCTGCGCAAAGGTTCATATTTTTGGAGAAAAACTTATGATGTTTCTTTATCACTTAAGTAAAATTTATTAATGTATTGGTTATATTTTGCTTGTTATAAGCCTTCCGACCCGAACATATCTGTATAATTTATTTATTTCTGTCACAATAATACCACAATTACAGAAGATTATATGTCCTTCATTTTTTAACAAGATGGAGTATTCCCCCATTATTTGAGAGACGCTCTTGATTTCCTAAACAACGAGCTTCGTTGAATTGAACTCGGGTCGGACGACGACAATCGACTTCTATAGTTACAACTCCTTCAAAACTTAACTCCTTGCGATTTCTTATGGGGTTACAACAAAAATAATGCGTTCGTGCCTCGTTATGCCATTTGAGGAAACAGAATTACGACGAAGTATCATAACTTCATTCGTGAAATGTTGCAGCGGCAAATGCGGCAAGATTTTGATTTCAGTCTTGAATTCTGTCTAAAGGATCTTATTTGTGTAAAAAAAGCTTAAGATGCTTATCTATCAGTTAAGCAAAATTTTTTGATGTATTGGTTGTATTTTGTTTGTTATAAGCCTTCCAAACTGGACACACCTTGTATAATTTATCTATTGCTGTCATTTGTTTAGACGAATATCGATTAAGCGTCCTATTCAAACTTTATACTCTTATTCTCTTAATTTTCATTTGTAAACATCTAAACACTATTTTTTAAAAAAAAATTAGTGTTACGTTTGCTCAGCTAATATTTTGGCCCTTTAGTTTGAATGAAAATAATTTTTAACTTACTTTACAGAGAAGGTATGAAATAATTTATGTTAATTTCTGTCATTAGACAGAATAATAGATTTACTTTTAGATATAAATTTAAACTTAATTGATGTCAGAGCTGAAAGTTTAGATCTGTGTTATGCTCCCACCTTTTGAGAAATATCCTTTAATAACTCTTTTCTATTCCATAGAGTAAGAGTTATTGAAACAGAAAGTGAAAGTGTGACTCCTATGAAAGCTCGTATCATCAAACCCCAAGAACCAATGATTTCCATTGGGTATAAAGCCAAAACTAAGCCTGTTTCATTTAAAAAAGGCCACGTGGAAGAAGACTGGGCTGATTCCAATATTCATTTGACCAAGACTCTTTTGCCAGAAACTCCTTTGTCGGAAACTAGAGATGATATGCTTCTTAATTGTGGAGGAACAAATGATTTAGGTTGGTGTGATCTCGGAACTAATTATCCTAAGTGAGTTCTTTTAAGAAATATTTTTAATTTTTATTAGCTTTCAATATTTCTTAAGGCATTTATTAAAAATAAAATGGAAATTAAAACTATGATTATAATTTCCCCTCCTTCCCAAATATTTTTTACTTATTTATTTCTACAAAAAAGCATTCTAGCAACAGTAGGTTGTCCTCCAAAGGGATTGTCAGTCAAGGGGCTTAAAGCTCCACAAATTTGAGACCTACAGCAAAATGAAGGCAACGTGTTCACCATACAGTCCTTGGCTATATAATTAAACGCACTGTGAAATTCTATGTAAAATTATAATTATCAAGTGATACTATACAGCTGTATTGTTTTCACTCGGATGAAACCGGTTTGCATTTGTTTACGATTCTGTATCAATTGGTTAACATTGTAATGCTATACCTTAGAAGTAAATACATATAAGAAGTATATAAGTATATAAAAAATCTTCCGAATAAAAACCCATTACATGCATGTTTAAGATAAAAGCATTGCATATAAACTCGTGCAAATCTGATAATTACTAAAAAAACTACAATGCGTCTAATAATTTGATCTAAATATTACAATATACTAAAATAATGCTTGATATAATAAATATTCTATACTTATATAATATATTGTCTAATTTATCCTATCGTCAAATTTATATTATATATCGTCAAATTTAACCAATTGATTCACTAACGTAAACAAGTGCAAATAGGTTTCGGTCATATAAAAACAGTAAAGCTATATAGTATCACGTGATAATTAAGATTTTAGATAGTATCTTATAGTGCGTTTAATAATTGGCCAGGTTCTGTAGTGCGCCAGTACTTCCCAAATAATAATATACGGATCAATAAATGTCTGACATTCTAAGAAAATGAAATCTTGATTTTAACCAATAGTAAGCCCGTTTGTCAATTAATATATTTTATTGCTATGACGAACAGATTTTTTGTCTTACTTTTTGTTAATGTGGTTTGACATAGTTATTTTTATTATTATTTAGATTTTTATCTCGTATTAGTTGAAATAGTTTTCATGACTCGAATTTATTTTTGAGGTAATTTACTCTTAATGTTGGAACCATATTACTTAGCGAAATATTATAATTTTATTTCATATTAATTCTTGACAATAGTTTTCGGAAATTTACCCGCAGTAAGGTGGATTCAGTTTTAAAAGTTATTAAGACATCTTACTTATTGAAATGAACTTATTTGATTTTTTTTATTACTTAGGAGAAATCATTAAATAATTTATAAATAAGCAAAGATAATAGATGAAAAGAGAATCTCAGTATTAGTGAATATCCTTTAACGGATGAATGAATGAATCTGTGAGAGAATAAATAACTAACAAAGTTTTTATTAAAAATGGTTTCGCAGTATTTCTTTCAAATAAAATGAATTCGATCAAAGCAATCTGTACCCAAAATTACAAAGCAACAAGCGTGCAGCTCCAGTCCTTCAATTCCAAGCTGCCTCCTTATGAGTAGCCTTTGATTTGCAGGTTTCATATTCTCATCATTGGTGATTTTTAACTGAATGTGTCATTGTCCGGTATTCTTTAAACTTTTAATTTGAAGGGCTATTGCTGCCCGTAATTTCTTACTTTGATGCTTTTCAAGCTAAGGTGTTATTGCCCGTATTCCTTATACTGACGAATTTTTAATGTCTTTGCCGGATTGTCTTTTTCTTTGACGAATTTTTAATTTCTGCGCTTAGTTTTTCTCTTATCTAAATTGTCTGAAATTCGTAGACACCTACTAGCAGAAAATATTATCCCAACAACTGAAGAAAATGAATGAATGGAATAATATAAAATAAGAATACAAAGTGAGGTAATTCTCTTAAAAGCATTTCGTCATTAGAAAGGTAAGATTTTATTTTCGATTTCCAAATTCTGAAATCGAAAATAATTGTTGTCTGATGTATCTGTTTTAGAAAAAATGTCGACATACATTCCCTACCTTACTTCAAAATCAAAAAATATGGAAAACTTCACTTCTATAGGGAAGCAATTTAGAATTGAATGGCTAGTTCTGCACGCTTGTTATTTGTTTTGCCTCCTACATTTTCAATACATAGAATTTAAAGATAATTTAATCTACAGACTTCTCAAAACATGTTTGAATTCTTCAAAATGATTAAAAAAACAAATAAAAAGTTTGAAAAAATGCATTTAAAATGTGTTTTTTTAAATTCAAGTGAAATAAAGTGTTTTTTAATAAGTGTGTTTTATTTGGTCATTATTTAGTTGTACGTACATATAAATCATTATTTGGTTGTACAGTAAACATACTTAGAAGTGATATGTTACGCAAGTTTGTATCTAGTGGGGCGTGCAGAGAAGAGAGGGAAGGGGACAGCAGAAAGGGTCATTCACTAGTAAAGCTTTAAATCTTTATTTTTATCACGAAATAAGATTTTTCATTGGCTCAAGCAAAATATTTTGTGTAGAATGAAATAAGATATTCATGCAAATTTAATAGCTTTTAGATAGTACTTAAATTTCAAATGTTCATTACATTTAAAAATGTATCAATATATTAGTGTAAATTTAAAATTTCTTTCTATCTTTCAATAATATTCATATTTATACGGGTCGTATTTACATTCATATTTATAGAAACATATTTATACAGGTCGTTTTTTAGTCTTAAATTAGCTTTCTTTGAACAGAAATGATGGCACTTCTTTTTTCAGTGGGAGTTCCTACATTTCTGTCAGCCACTGTTCGGGACATAAATAAAATTTCCTCTAAACCAGATATAATATTTTATGGTATACATATTTTTTGAGTGAGTTGCTAAGATTTATATTTTGTGAAAATATGACGGTATCTGTTATACTTTTCAGCATTGAAGTGTCACAAATTATGGATGTGTGCGAAGAACTTGTGAATAAAATGTTTGTTGAAGTCCCGGATGTAGAAATGGAAGATATAGCTTCCTATTCATTGTCGAGAAATATCACGCAGCAAAAGAAATATTATCCTCGAAATTCAGAAAGTGTGCTGCTTAAAAAAAGCCTCTGTGAATTAGAAAGAGAAATTATTCAACCAAGTTTTGCTCAAGATATTGAAGGAAAATGGCACGTTATCATTCAAACAGATGAATTCCCACAAAGAGTTATTTTAGAAGTTTGCAAGTAAGTCAATAACAATAATGCCATCAATTCCTTGCAAGATTTATGTGTTGCATTACTCTGACGCAACTTATCATTTAATTTTTTTTTTACTGTTCACTCAATAACTCTGCAAGATAGTACTATCTTTTAGCACACGGGTAAATTCTAACATTATATATTCAGGATGTTCCGTAATAATCGCTCTTAATATGTCCCTTAAAAACCCTTGAGGACCGTTTATAAATAATGTCACACTCTTTAACAATATTTTTGGATCTCTCCTCCACTTTGTTCCATATTGCGAAAAAATATTGTCAAAAGTACCAGAATATGGTAAAATTTACTATGTTTCTGGCTCTATTTGAACTCAAGATTATGGCAATGATTTTGGAAAAATTAACAATAAAATATGGTTTTATAATGTGTGATAGAATTTGGTAAATGCTGTAAATCTTAGTAATTTTTTCATTATACCGAAGAACATGGCATAATAACTATTTATTCGAATGTATTTAATTTTCAGTATTGTATTTTTACTGTGGGAGCAGCGTTAGCCCAGCTTGTGGTGCCCCTGAAAGAGTGGCTATCAATTCTGCTTTACTGATATTTGAATGTCAATCGGGAGGACATTAGAAAAATAAATTCTTTCACTAAATGTGCAGCAATAAGATTTATAATTTTGAAAACTTGAATGTTCGGTAAACTGTTACCACATGAACGGAAAAATTACCAAATGAATGGTTTAAAAACAGTATATATTGGTTTTATTAACCACAATTATGTTTTTTTTTTTTTAATTTTTATACCAGAAATGTCGTTACCATACATTATAATAATTTTACCTGAATTTTTTCTTTCAAGCAGTGTAACACTTTAACATATCACCTATCTTCTTTTCACATGTCATGACATATTAGCTAATCATATCCAAGCCATATATTACTTCCTTTTACTGAAACGTATAGCCACAGGGAGGAGAAAAGCACGATTTGGCGAAACCATGGTAACGGAGGGGGTAAGATTGTGGAGAGTGTGGAAATAGCATAACCTTGAGACGCCAATTCTATTTATAATGAGTATAGGGGGGGTATTATTTCCAGCATACTATTTTACTCTAAATTGAATGACGCTATCAATAACATCAATAAAAACTATTACATAAATAAAACTTTAATTTAAAAATTAAAGCTTTCTTATATAAATTTTAAACTATTAATCATATCGACTTGTTTTTGATCTGATTCGATTTCATGTAATGCATTATACCACTTGCCTGATCACATAAGTACGTAGGATTCAAAATTTGCGCAATTTTTGTATAAAACCTTATTAACGTCTTAACTGCATTTCCTGATGACTTGGGGTTGGTTTAATTTAAATTAGCCTTAAAAATACATTGGAAACCTCACTTGTTTAGATAACAGTGTGTTTCATTCTTGTGTCACTTAAAAATGGATAATGTTCAAGACCTCAAAGGAAAGGACAAACTTCAGATAAACCTGAACCTAAGTATTTAAAATAACTTTCGTCTAATTATATCCACGCTAAAATCCTTTTAACCACGCAGGAGCGGACCTAGTCAATATATACCAGGTTTAAGAGTAACCTAATCCATAATTTAATCACAGTAATTTTTTAAAAATTCATTACATATTTCGCAATAAAACCCATTGATCGGGGTGGCTCAAGTGATAGAGCGCTCGCCTTCCAATGAGGTGATCTGGGTTCGAATTCCAGCGATCACGAGTCGAAACGAATTTTGCAACCGGCTCACACCACCGACAGTGCTGACGTGAAATATTCTCTATGGTAGACGGATCATGGTAAGGTTAGAGTCTCCTTGCCGTCAGGCTAACCGTGGGAGTTTTTTGTGGCTTTCCTCTCTATGTAACGCAAATGCGGGAAGTTCCATCAAAAAGTCCTTCACGAAGACAAATTTCTCCAATACCTGATTTCTCCAATACCTGTTCTCCAATACCAGAGTTTCCTAGTCTGGATTGGGTTTACAAGGCTACGGAGTTAAATATTAGTAGTAGTAAACTCAAAAATTGGGTCGGCTTGTTCATCGACGCGTATAAAACTCAATGAAAAGTTGTATTTACACAATGTTTTTTTCAATGAACTCAAACTAATTCGCAAACTCGTTAGCTAATTATGCCTGAAACTTGTACAAAAGACCATAGAACAACTTATTGTATTCGTATAGATAAGTTCACATGGTGTGTTTTATGATGTTTCAAATTAATACATCTAAAGTTAAATTTATAAAACGTTTTATTTAAACATTTATAAAAATTACAAGTTTTAAATTAATCAAATTTGTTATTGTAATCTTGAGGTTTTACAACCACTCATTTTAAGTTGCATATTCGTTTGACGGAAATATGAATTGATCCGAAAATCTACACTAATGATTATTTTTAAAGTGTTATACTTACTTAATGTCCAGCGAATTTTAACTTGATTTATTTCTGTTTCTTATATATTTTGGATTTTTTTCCCTTTTTTTGCGTATAACAATTGATTGAATAATTTTCCTTCATCATGATAACGTTATTTATGTTTCTATTTCAGAAATCCAGGAGAAAAATGCAAATCATGCAACAGTTTAGTTTCACAATGTGTTCAGAAATATAGTCACCATAAATTACTAAGTTTTGATCCAGAAAGTGCAGAAACATGCCCTTACATTCGACTCTACAAATTTCCAACAGCCTGCGTCTGCAGAATTAATTAGATAATTTGACTTTTCTATTTACTACACCGTTATTTGACATCACATTAAAGATAACACTATAATGAAAACAATCGTATAAACAGAAGATCTGAACTAAGGTTTTAACAGCACCATCAAGGAGGGAAGTTTTTTCTTGTTGCATGCCTCGTAAATAAAGCTTTAAGACTATTTAATCAGAATTTTCTGAAAATTGCAGAATATTTTAAATATAAACGAAACATTCCCGTTGATATTTGAAAACAAATTGTAAGAAACAATTGTAAAAAAATATAGTAAGATGAGTTTTTGAGGTAGTATTTTTTTTAGAAGAACATAAAATAATCAGAAAATATTTTCTCAACAAAATTAAAAAAAAATTCCCGTTTAGAGTATACCCGCCCCATAACTAAATATTTACTGGAATTGTGAGTAATTAAAAGATATTTCTAAACATAAAATAAGAGAACAGTCCTAATTTATAAATTCAAAAAAAAAAAATAAATATTATATATTAAGATGCAAGCGTTGAGTGTCTTTTGTGTTGGTTTGATGAGGTTTTAACTTGATGAGTGTCTTAACTTGAAGAGTTTCTCGAATATAGTTAATGAATGAATAATTCTAATGTCCAAAGTATTACTTTCGAAGCAAATTCAACGGGAATATTAATTACAGATTCAATGTAGTATTTTATTTCAAGAAGCAAGTTTTCTTTCTTTCCCAAAGAAAATTGTTGTCCAATGACAGACTTCTCATTTCAGCAGATAATTTATAGCATCACTATACCTATATAAATATGCTCAATTGATACATCAGACCATGAACAAAGTACAAAGTAGTGCGAAAATAAGAACTTTGACCTGCCATTTTTTACCATATTTATTTATTATTATTTTCTTGTTTTCAAGAAAGAAAATTGTGATCATTTGATTTGATACACATTAAAGTAGCGTAGCTGGCTATGCAATTTTAATACATAGTTGATATTTATAATTTAAGTTATTATATTTACCGCACTTCATGAATATGTTGAGAATCATCAACAGAAATTGTTCAGATCCATGTAGATTGTATAATAAAGAATTTTTCTCGTAGTATTGGTATTTTTCTAAGTGCTGAAAAACATCTTTTTAAGTTATAATGCTATAGAAGCCTGTAAATGAGGTAATGAGATAGCTTGGTAGATTTTTCATGCATATACTTAACAATTTTGTCGAGTTATAACAGGGTGAAACCCTGTCAAGTTAAACTGAAAACGCAGACATTTAACAAGCCGGGACCCAATTGGATACAAATAGTATTTCCAAAGGGCTTACAGAGCTTCCAGGAAACAAATAGTATTTCCAAAACACGCAGAATCAAGAAGTTTCGGTGGACGCATTGTAAACTTTTTATATTCAGTGTTTTAGTTTCGGTAGACGCCTTGTAAACTTTTGATAATTTTTGGCTTCACGGAATTCATTTGAAACTAATTTCATATTAAAATATGGTAGCCGTATTTTATAAATATATCCTAAAACTATTACGAAGAAAATTACAAATTGAAAAACATATAAAGCTTTTACGTATAGTTAGGCGTTTTATGAGTTTTTTTTATAATTTTTTGCCGTGCGGGTTCTTTTGAAATATGCTTCAAACTAAAATATCGACGTCATATTTTTCTAGAAATGCTCCTTGCAGAACATGAGATATTGATAATCTTTTCTTAAAAAAAACTTTGTTCGTGAAAAACACATGAATTTATAAACATATATAGTTTTTGCGTAAGGGTGGATGCTTTGCAAAATTTTTATTATTTTTTGCATCACAGGATTCATTAAAATTAGATTCATATTAAAATGTGGGTGTCTTATTTTATGAAAATTCCAAAACATAACCCGAAATATTTATAGAAAAATTTTAAAAAATTTCGCATTTTGTCCCAAACACGCAAATTCAGGAACACATATCGTTTTAACGCAAGAGTCCTTTTTGAATTCTTTATAATTCAGCTTTAAAGTAAGGGTGATAGACTTCTCTGTGTCTCACATGTGTTTTTTTAAATAATTTTTTGTGCAATGGAATTCATTTGCAACTAATTTTAATATAAAACCTGAGCGTCATAGTTTCTAAAAATGCTCTTATATAACTTAAAATATTTAAGCAATTAAAATATTATAAAATATTTAAGGGTGAGTAACATGCTCTTATATAACTTAAAATATTATTTTGTCCAAAACACGCAAATTAAGGAACATATAGAGCTTCAATATAAGTTTGGATGTTTTTCGGATTTTTTATAATATTTTGCCTTGAGGATCCTTTGGAAACTTCACATTAAAATATGGGTGTTTCATATTAAAATATGGGTAGTATATTTCATAAAAATTTCCGTAAAAAAGCTGAATTATCTAAAAAGAAAATATTTTTTATCCAAAGCACATAATTTAAAGAATATAGGGAAAGGTGGGGTGAAATCGGGTAGTGGGATAAAATCGGGTATCTCGATTTTGGTGAAATTCGGCGGAAAAACTTTGAATGTTGTATTGGCATGTTGTTGTTAATTCACGGCGTCCGTGTAGATAAGTTTTTTTTTACAATATCAACTCTNTTTTTTTTTTTTTTTTTTTTTTTTTTGCAATGTCAACTCTCTAATGTTTTTTTAATGTTCCGACGTTCTCTTGTTTTTTTCAGCTATTCTATTCATATTCATTTGGTCATTACAGTTATAAAAATAATTTTCTAGTCCAGCTTATTAAAAGTTTACTTAAGATTTATGTTCCAGCAAACAATAAGGATTTAGTTTGATTAATTGCACTACTTTGTTTCGTTTCGAAAACCTCTCCTAGGGGGTAAAACAGGGTACTACACGGACCAGTCAAAGAATATAAAAGAAGTCCAGCTCTTAGAATACATAACTAACGCGGGGAATTGCTCGGTACGCTATACCAGAAAAACAATTTACTGGATGAACAACAAACTCAGATTTAGTAATGAAATTAGGAGAACTAAGATCGAGCACATGCGCAAGAAGCAAACTGACAGTAGCTGGGGCAAACCGACAGTAGCTGCGTTGCTTTCCACCAACCGCCATTTTATTCTATCTTTCTATATCAAAATTTGATGATATTCCCAAAGAAATATCTTTATTAATAGTATTCTACTGTTTATCAATACAGAACAAACTAACGACAAGGAAAACTTTTCTCCTTCACTCCAACAATCCCAGTATTGGTTAGGAGGAGGTTGCAAACTCTGCTCTTCTGCTTCGTTGTTTTTCCTTAGTAACACAGGGACAGCACTTAACCTTAGAGGACTGATTATTTCAATGAAAGCTAGATTTCCTTCTCTATGTATCCCCTTGATGTGTGCCTACGCTGGATTCACAAAAGCTTCGGAGGAACTACATCCGAGGCTGTGAACAAAGATTTTCCGGATCCCAGGACAAAATTAATGACGGGCCCAATCGTCAAGGCAAATAGTGGTATTTTCATATTTTGTAGAATTTTTGAAGACCACAATTGTAATTTTTGAATTCTCTGCCATTTTCTTTTGAAAAAGCATTAATAAGCACTATATTTTTTACAAAGAAATTTTGTTGGGGCCCCAGTCATCCCGGCCGCGGATAGTTGCCCCTCCCACCCCCTTGAGTACAGTCTTGACTACATCACATGCATATTTTTTTTTTTAAATTTGTCACATAAAATAGAAATGTCGATTTGCTATTTTACTGAAAATCTGGTACTTCTAAATCTCCCATAGTGTAGACATGTGTACGCGGTTTCACTTCACCAGTGGGGTAAGACTGAGTGGTTTAACTTTTTCTAAAAAAGAATCATTTATATAAAATTAAATAGTACATCTACGACTTTTAGATATTAATACATTGTATACAACTGAACAATGAATATCTCGATTAAATCAGACAATTTCTAGATTAAACAGTTTAGCTCTAATAGGCCTTCGAATTGAACGAATCGTTAACGAAAAGGGACACAGCTAAAAAAAAAGCGTTTAAGAGCGGATACAGCTGTAAATGCGTGTTCAAAAAAAAGAAAATAGCTATTTAAGAAAATGGATGTAATATTCGATCTCGTTTTTAATGAGTAAAATTCACTCTTTTTTAAAAGAATAAACTAATGAATCTAAATATAAGTTCGCAATACTATAGCGTCCATTTAATTAAGTCATTTGGCACATTTTATTCAAGTAGTTTCTTTTTGAAAAATCTTTTAAGAGTCAACACTTGTTTTTGCAAGGTTGTTAAGGTTCCTATAAATTAATAAAAGTGTCAGTAATTTTCTGTTGTTCGAATTTTGATTTTTAATACTTTTGATTAGACATTTGATTGGACATGTCGGGGGGGATCGATCCCCTATGGCTTCTTCCTATTACGCAACATTTATGATTTTGCTTAAAATGTCAGTTGGATAGCAATATTCTTTTTTATTTTGTTTTAGCTCGTAGTCTTCAACAAAATGAAAGTTTTATCATGATGAAGATTTTGTTTTCCTCTGTATGGCTGTTGTCAGACATTTTCCATCTGTTTTTTTGATTTATGTGATAATTAACAAAAACTTCAATCTACAACTACTGAAACACATTTTACATTATATTTCCAAAAAATAACAAAAATAATTGAAGGCAAACAATAAACAGTTTGTAATATATAGAACACTTTTAAAAAATTTAATTTTTTGTTCAAAACATGAAAAGCCATAAACATATAGAGCTTTAACATAAAGAAGGACGCTTTATGAATTTTCATAATTTTTTACATCTTGGGATTCATTTGAAACCAGTTTCAAATTAAACTATGAGCGGCTTATTTTCTGAAAATGCCTTTAGTTAACAAGATATATTTATAGAAATTTTAAAAAATGCACATTCCTTAGAAAACACGACTAATCCATGAGTATACATAGTTTCAACATAAGAGTGGACACTTTGGGATTTTTTTTTATCTTTTGCATCACGCCATTCATTCAAAACTAGTTGCACATTAAAATTTCACCTTCATATTTACGGAAATTGTCTGTAAATAACTTGAAATATCAAAGAGCATTTTTAAAAAAGTTCATATTTCGTGCAAAACATGGAAATCTATGAACATGTGTAACTTTAACATAAGGGTAGTAAATTTTTTATAGTTTTTTTTGCATCGCGGGATTCATTTGAAACTAGTTACATATTTAACTATGGACGTCTTTCGAAAAGTGCTCGTGTACATCCTGAAATATTTATAGCTCGTTTACATCTTGAAATATTTATATTTATAGAAAATTTTTAAACTGTTCCAGTTTTATTTAAACACGAAAGTTCAGGAATATAAAAAGCTTTAACGTAGGGGTTTACGCTTTATGATTTTTTTTAATTACTTCTTCCATTTCGGGGTTGCAAATGCCTGTACATAATCTAAAATGCTTATACGACGTCTTCGTATTTGAGATTTTGTTCAATAAAGTTAGTTTAAAAATCTGAATTTCAATAACATCAATTTACTTCCACTATTATTAATTTATCGGGCCCTTAGCAACCCTGTAAAAACAAAAACTGACTTTCAGAGTTTTTTTTTAAAGACTAAAAGGCTAATGAAATGTATCAAATGACTTATTTGAATGGATATCATATTGCAAACTTATTTGGACTCATTAGTTTATTCCTTAAAAAAAGAGCTTTCACTCATGAAAAACGAGATAACATACAATGTATATTTTTTTAAATACTTATTTTCCTTTTCTTAAACATGCGTTTCCAGCTGTATCCATTTCCGTAAACACGCATTTTTAACTCACCGATGATTTGTTTTTCTGTCTAACACGATTTTATAATTTGTTCTCTGTGTTGAGCACACAAGCTCGCATATGCACGTCGCTAAACAAGCTTATGATAAAGTTAAAATAATTTTAATTTCTCAAAACATGAAATCAAAAAAAAAATTTTAATATAAATTTTTTAAAAATTGATGCGTTTTCATGACCTGTTGCAATTCATAATGTTATATGTATAAGTGGGTAAAAGTGGTAAAAATTCATTCAGGATTAAAAAATAATGAGTCATAAGTGATCACTCACAGCACTCGTGTATCCGAAAACTGGAAAGTTACAAATATAGA